GCGCCAGGCACGCAGCACGCCGCCCCAGCGCTGTTCCCACGCCGGCAGCCTGCAAAACAAGCCCTCTGCCCGCCGACATCGAGCAACCCGTCCCAGCTCCTGGGGAGTCGGGCACTGACGGGAAACGCGGGGCAGCACGGCCAGCGCAAACGGCCGCCGGGGTGGGGGAAGGAAGGCAGTGCCTGTCCCTGAGGGGCCTTTCGTCGTCCTGACATAACACTTGTGCATCTTCATAAAGCCTGATGCAGGATAGACTGTAAGAGACTCGTTTTTTCTTCCCACGATAACGTCAGAGGCATCAGGTTGCCATTTGCTAATATAAAACCTAGCAGGTAGAAAAGTCACCCTGTATACAAAGACAAAAATCGACAAGCATAACATAGGGAAATCACATGAGAACAGCAAAACCTCCCTTGCAAGTAAACGTCTATTTTTGGAGGTCTGAAATTTTACTTTAATTAACTTACCCTATGAACTTAGTGAAGTTGACACTCCAGAAGGAAATCTTAACTTGGTACCTTGTCCCTTCCAGAATAGGCCGTGGCTGAATTCACATTGGCCAGGGAGAGGCACAACATTCACCACCACTGACCTAGAAGCTAAACTAAACTTAAAAACACTAAACCAAACTTAACAAAAAAAAAAAAAGGCACATAGTGCTAAGTTCTGTGAGCACCTTCATCAACAGAGACCACTGTTGCAGAAAACAGACTGAGAACGCTCTGTGCTGGGAGATCAGAGCACAGGAGCAGGAGAACAAGCGCAGTACTCTTGCATCCAACTTCTTCTCTGCTCAGGAATGAAACCTGGCTAAGCATGAAATCATGGTAAATCATGTGCCCTTTGCAGATACCGGAACTGCAAATTGCCAACAGGGTTAGAGCCGAGGCATGTATCTGGCCTCCTTGACCTAGGATTCGTACAAAAAGGAGAGGGATATAGCGCAATTCAGTGAAAGGAAATGTGAATTTCATTAACACTGGGTAATAATGACTTCACATGCAAATGGCTGTAATCCATTTTTACCAGAGTGCAAATCACGTGTGAGGCATTGGCCTCTTTAGGTTTTAAAAACAGCATACTTTTCCTTTAGCATACAACATAAAATGCCATATAAAGTGAACAGAAGGATAAAAAAAGCCCACAAACTCACACACCCCTACATCTGCAGAATAAGACAAACGTACCCTTCCCTACCTCAGGTCTTATGATCCTGACTCACTGGGTGCCTATCAAGCCTGTTGTATTTGTTTACCATGCCATGTGATGATCTCTTACTACTCAGTCCGTCCTTCCAAGCTCCTAGCAGGAACATCTTGTCACCCTAATGAAAAGCTGATCAACATCATCATCATCTTCACTATTACTTTGTTCTCAGTTTTCTGCATGGCACACACATGCTACAACAATTCATCAGTAATATCGCAGCTACTTCTCAGAAATAAATCTACACACACAGAACTCATCAGGCAGAAGAACTCTAAAAAACTCCCTCTATTTGAATTTTTGGCAGACTTCTTTTTTTCTGCAAGTACAGCATTCTCTCAATTAGAAACAGCTTGTTGAAGATGTTCAAAGTCAGCAGCCAAATTTCCTAAAGAAAATTCAGCTTCTACACACCATTCTACTCACTAAAAACTGATGCAGATCTCAGACCTTCGTTTTCTCCCTCCTGTTCACCAAGTCTTCAGAGTAGTCTCTACACTTTGTTTTAAAATTACAATACCTGTTTTCAAAGAATGGGTATAAATTTGAATTAAGCCTTCCATGTCTACATAATTAAAGGTAACAATCTTGCAGGATTTCTGGTTTCATGCATTCTAGTAAGCTAGCTTGCTGATGAAGCTTTCCTGACAAGTCATGGAGCCCACACGGGAGAGGCAAAGATCTCCTTGGTAGAACCACCACAGGTGGCTGAACATGCTGTCAGAAAAAAGGCCATGTTGCTCTCCCTCCCTTGCACACATACCCTTTGCTCCTCACCCACATCACATCTGCTGCTTTGAGCCACCTCTTCCGCAATCACAATTGTGGTGTGTGCCATCACCCGCATGATACTGTGCAACTAGGCTCTAATACAAGTTCTCTGTAAGACTGAGAACAAGGAAGTTGAAGCACGCGCCTGCTGCATGCTAGGCAGCAGATGCTACCTTCCAAGCATACAGAAACTCCGCCAAACGAGTGGAAAAACAAGAACAGCTAACTAAGGAGCAAAAAGCTCCCTGTGGAATTCAAAAACTTCAATCAGTAGTTGAAGTTACCCTGCAGGGATAGAAGGGTAGGAGAAGACTGCTGAAACCCACTGTAATATATGCCAAAAGCACCACACTGCTACTACACTTAGTCTTTAAATTATTAAACTATGACTACAACTAGGGAAACTGTTTAAATCCTTTACTTTTGTTCAGAAATTTATGATTTGCCCTATCTATATTAGCTTTTCAAGTGACAGACTTCCACTCTATTGTCAAGCTTAACAAGAGAAAAAGAGCTAATCAGGAATAACTGCATAATAAATACCATGTAATAAAGAGTTAAAGAAAAGTGAGGGAGCTTTGTGAAGAGGTTAACGCTTGCTCATATGACAGAACAGGTAGTAAGACAGTGGAAGGACACAATGTAAGCCTTTCTACTCTTTGCCTAGCTTTTATTAAATAGTACATACAAACTTCTTTTGTGCTTCCAGTAGAGAACATTTTTCCCCCCTATTTGTCTCCAAAAAACCCCGAACAACCCAAAACAATAGGACTTAAAAAAAATTAAATAGCAAGTTTCATGTAGCTTTATTTCACAAAATTTCCTCTCCCCAAAAGGACATGGAGGTGACATTTGTTTCATCTATATCAATTAAGCATAGCAAATTAGAAGTCAAAGTTATTTTCTAATTAAAGATTCTACCTGTGGCCTAATGGACGTGACAGAAGAGCTCCAGCAACTCCTGCAGAGGCAGACTGAGGTGTTACAGCCACAGCATTTTTTCTCTGCCCATCCGCTGAGGGTTTGCTGCTCCCCACGGCACAGCTAGCAGAAGGTACTATGCACTTGTGCCTCAGCTACTCTACTGTAAAGTGCCATGTTTCAGCACAAAGTGCTGGTAAAGATGAACTAGAGCTAAGCTACCAGACCTTACAGTGGAATGAATGAAGTACAGGCACATGTTCACTTCTGCTGACATAGCTCTGAGGGAAGAGCCAGAAAAGCTGACTCCCTATGCCATTCCAGCAGCAGCCGCCATCAGCTCCCTGCAAGTCCAGCTGTACTGCTGCCTGCCTGGTAATTATCAATGGTAAAGGTTATGAACCCAAATTAGAGCTTTTGTCATACAGTCCACAGTGGGTTTCCATGTGTGAGTTATTGCAAGTGTAGCCTCTACAGCCAAGCATAGAATAAAAACACAACACTGTCCAAAAGCTCTTTTTCATTTGAAAAGGAGAAACAAAAAGCAATTATATAGAATAGAAATCTGCAACTTGGACTGAAACACAGTGATCTCAGAGTACCACTTGGCCACAGGGACCAACTGGGACAGGAAAGCCCATCATCAAATCACTTACATGGGAGGCAATTCTAAACAGACACTGGGAAGATAACTACCCCAGCACTGTGTACTCCCATCAAAGCCTCTTTCAAGTAAGGTAAGCAGTGCTTGCACCCTCTAGAAAGCAATGCCATCTTCTTGTAGAAGAGCGCCACCTTCTCAGTGGGAGATGTTACATGTGCAAGAAGAAGAGTTCTGCTGAAATGTCTAGTTAATATCTGCTTAACGTGAGTAGTTAAGCGCTTGTGGAGGAGCACTGCAGGAGTGGGTTTGGTGATGTATGTTTGTTTTTAAATTAAATCATGCAACACACAGAAGGTAGGGGCAAATCATTTTTCCGGGCATCCACCACATTGCCGGCAATGAGATGTGCCACAACAGCAAGTGTTGGCTGTATGCAGCTGTTACGTATAGGTCAATGGCATTTAAAATAGAAAATCTTTCTTACACAGTGTTATGAATAAAATTGCACTTGATTTTGTTAAAAACTCATATCACTGTAACTTTTCCAAATATTTCCTTTCTGGCATCTTAATTTTCTTCATTAACAGGAGCTTCTCTAAAAACCTCTCATTCATGTTGGACACATGACGTACAAGAGCAGTAAACCATTATCTACCAGAAAAATGGGTCTGTTGTTTCTTCAGTGCTTATTTCTATCTATCCCCACCCTCCCCCCAAAAAAAGGTACAGGCAGTTCACCTCTAAGTGTCAATTGTAACATTGAAATATAAACTCCTCAAGCAGACATTAGGAATTTTAGTTTCACAGATTAAATATTTGAAAAGTTACAGAAGGTGCTGGAATAGTACACATTTCAATTGCTTAAAAATCCAAACTTGCAGCAACTTTGTAAATTCAAATTTCCAAAAGGTTTATAATGTCCTTTGTGAACTTCTGCAGCAAGGCATCCTCATGACAATAAAGCATCAAACTTCCACAGCTGAGATCAAGAAACAAATCAGCAGGATGCACTTGCTCCACCAAGCAACTTTAAAAGAGGTGTCTCCACTTCCATAGCAAAACCTTCTCCTTCATTCCATTTTGGACCTTTCAAAGTGTGTAATCATTCTTTCCTGGAAAATAAAATACCCAATGTTGTCATTTCCCCCAATAGGTTTACATTATTCAGAAATTAGGTAGTATGGCTTTGCACATTCACAACAAATGCACACTCGCACACATTTTAAGCATGGAGTCCAACTTAGACAGCAGATATACCACTTGTTTTAGAATACACATTTAGAATACACGTTCATATTCTAAGAGGTTGTGTCATTACTGTGCCCACTATCCTCCCCTCCCCTTGTAGTATTTTACCGCTGCCCTGCAAGATCAGGGAGTCCAGTTCTAATAACGAAGTCCTTAACAGCTGATTCATGACTCCTTTGGCACATCAGAACACTAATTTGAACTGAAGATTTGTTTACTGACCTCATCTGAATCCAGAAGAGCTGGAAGAGCACTGCAAGGAGGAAAGGAAAAAAAAAAAAAAAAGAAATAGTTAAGAGAATTACAGCACCTACTGAGCGCATATTATTAACAACCATTTTCAACCTTATGCTTCACCTTAAGCTTTTTAAGGCAGAGGAGAGCAATAATGAAGATAGACTTTTCAATTGAACAGGTGGAAATTAGAGAAAGACACAAAAGAGGAGCCACCCAAGGAGTATCCTCAACGACCTTCACATATTCTTTTTTTCTAAGCTTCTCATTATCAACCAAACAATTTCCAAGTTGCCATGAAATAAGCTGCATTCATATGGGAACACTGCTGAACTACACTGAAGGCATTTACAATATGGGACCATATTGTAAAAACACATCCCAGAAACCAAACAAGTTACACTGGTACAATAGCTCTTCAACTACAATAGACCTTCCATCTATCTATTGGGATTGGGATCTCATCTCTTCACAACCCTAATCAACATACTTTCAAGAACAGAAAACCCTGCACTCCTTCTTAAGGAATCCTACTATTCTTCAAAAAGTCAGTACTAGAACTGGGAAAAACAAATTCAATTGAGAAAATGCACTTTTTCATCCTCTTGAAGCTCCACCTGATTTAACTTCAAGCAGAGTTTTTTACTTAAATCCAGAGCCTCTGCCAAAATTACCTGTTCAGATTTGTGAACATAATTAATCTGTGAACATCTGCTTTGCTATGAAAAATTTAGACACAGCCACTGATAGTTTTAGGATGTAAAAAGTTATTAAAACTAGAATAGATATGGACTGCCTACATAGCTGACTACATTGCCAGAAGCATAAAAATGACTCATCAGACATTCCAAATAAAGTTGAGAACTAGGTGACATTATTCAGTGGTTTACATTTGGCAAGACACTCAAAGGACTTTTCAGAGTACTAAACAGAAAGAGAGCATTTGTTTGTTCTTTGTTTTCCAAATTTGTTTAGTTAGTTTTAACTTCAGTGAAGTGCAAACAAATCAGTCTGTGGTTTTACAGTCTGAGATGGTGACCTTTAAGTCAGCACTTGTTCAAATGGCATGAACTGTAAATTGGCCAGACTGTGTAACACCAAGCGGAAGGATGCTAAGAAGTCAGAAGCTACTTCCAGGCTGAACTCAGTATCTGCTCACGTAAGTGCAGCATATAAGTTATACAGCATTCTAACATATCTGTGTTTCTGTGCCCAAGGAACTTCTTTTTATTGTGACTATAAAAATACTCACACATCTGTCACCGATGAAGGAACGTTCTCCTCTACCCACTTCAGGTCATCCTCCTGCTACAAGTACAGAAATTAAATAGAAAACAAAAGTCAGTTTTCCCAAAATGCTGTCACATGCAAGCCTTTTTTCTTCTCAACCCACTTGACAAAAACCAATGTATTTATAATGTCAGTTTAAAAAAACCCCATAAAACCACCTTCAACTTGATTTCTGGATTACAGAAAACGCATTCCAAAAAAAAAAAAAAAAAAAGAAACAAAAACCCACTTATAACTTACTGTCAACTCTGTAATAGTCTAATGGTGACTAGGAAAAGCAGGCCCTCAGGACACTTTTGTTATTTACATAATCTAGTTTAGTCTCCCTCAAAAGAATATTATCTTAGAAAACATCACAGATGAAAAATTATTATAAAAAGCACAAGCTAGATTTTGCAAAGCTACGTTAAACTGTATTGTCAGGATTTCTCATTTCTATCTGATGAACGTGCTCTAATTCACAACACAAGCACACTTGGTTTGAAGTTGGATAACTGACCCGTTCTGATCCCCCCCGTCCCCAAAATAGAAAAGTTTGATTTTCCCATTATCCTCAGATAAGTAGTGCACAATTGCAATCAACCTTTGAGAAAAGCAATGTTAATGACAAAAACATTACTGCTAATACCATTAATTCCTACACGTTTTTTCCACTTTTAAATTTATGCATGAATTGCATGAAAAGATTCTGAGATGTATTTTCTACCTCCTAGCCGAATGTGAAGCCACCTCTGCTTATAAGCCACATGGAAAAAGTGCAGGTATATTAAAAATGTTCCACCCAGACTATTTAGGTAGCTACATAATAATATACACATCACCCCATTCGAGTAATGAATCACAAATCTCAAAATTAGAAGGGCAATTAGTTTATTTAAAATATGGCTCAGCCCCCCTCTCAGCTTCACAAACTTGTTAAAATAATGTATTACTCATTATCAGAATACAGTATTACACAGTTCTATCTATACTGGATTGTGCAAATACTCCTAAACAGATTGAGTTCTAAAGCTTCTATTGCACTTACAGAAAATTAGATGAAAAACCTGTATTTACTTTTTTTCAGAAGTACTGTAAACATATGATACTTTGACTCACTCCCACTCTGAAGTAAGCCAGGACACTCACATGTATAGGCTGAACACTTTGCATATTTGTGAGCTACTACTGGGGGGCAGCCAAACAAGAGAGACAGATCTGTATCCTTCAAGATAGACAGGGCATACTCACAGCTTTGTTTGCCTTTACATTCCCATTTGGTTCTTGCTTTGTACTTCTCATTTTCATTCCCTCTGAAGACAAAAGGAAAAAAGATTGGGGTAACTGAACTATAATTGTTCATAGACTGGCAGCGAAAGTGTTGAGTGTTCATTCAGAATATTGCATCAAATCCAAAGAGACAGAGTAAGACAGATAAGTTATTCATTAAGACAATGCTTTCCCTTTGAAAGGCTTGTATTTTTCTTGATAGGTGGAGTACCTAGTTTTTCCTGAATTTTGCAATTTTACCCAGGAAATAACAATTTCTAGTCCCTTTTCTTTAAGCCAGACATAAACAGCATAGAACTCAAAGACATAGTTGCTCAGAAAGGCTGTGGAACATCCATCCTTGTACTCAAAAGCCATCTATCTAGACACTGTCCTGGGCAAGCTGTTCTAGGTCACCCTGTCAGAGCAGGGTGTTCGGACAGGATGACCTCCAGAGGTCCCTTCCACCCTCAACCATTCTGAGACATAGGCAACTCCCAAAAATTATTTTACCTACTGACTGCTGACCAGCCACTAGGTTGACTTAAGAGCTGAGAGGCAATATGCATCTCCCAGCCTGGCAGACAGCTAGATATAGCTGATTTGGCAAATGCACCTAAGGGATTACACACTCCTCCTCAGCTCCTAAACAAGTGAAGCAGCACTGATATATCCCAGCAGAATTGATTTGCAGACAGACAGCAGACCCTACCTTTTACACAACTTATAAACAATAGTGTTACAAGGACAACAGACATAGCAGGGAGATACTCATCCATATGTTTACACTGGACCTTCCTGTATTAGGTCCTAATATGGAAAATGAAGAAGACTGCAGAATTCATAGAACAGACAATAAATGAAAATCCTTGAACTGGATTTTAAAAAGAGAACTGCAAACTAAGCCACTGCCTAGCAATAATATCCAAGAGATGCTAGATATCCATCATCATGGCTGGATCCAAACCTGTCACTTGATATATTTAATAAAACAAAGTCCACTGGACACAGTAAAGCAACCACAACAGTAGCAGTGTGTTCAGTGTCATCTGAAAATCCTAGAATTAAGCAGGCAATGTAAATAGTACACAAAGCCAATGTTTCTTCTATCACTGCATAAATCAATGGCAACAGGGAGGTATTGACTCTGTATTTAGAGCAGTAATTAACTTTTTGCCAGAAAACAAGAGGCCTCCCTCCACAGAAGTGTCTCTTCAACACTGAAATTAGGTGGGGGGAAAAAGTTTTTCTCTTACCAAAGCTTTCCTTTAACATTGGCTCTTTCTGCTCATCATCATCCTCCTCTTCAGACAGTGGTGAGAAAGCAAACCTTTAGGAGGGAAAGAATGAAAGCTATCTTAGAATAATCTCTTGCCACCTGAGAGATTTATTACCCCTCCATTCACATGACCTGATTATTCTGTGTAGTTGTTTTTAATAACTATGCTAAACTACAGAATCTGAAGTTTAAGTCACTTCTTTTTAACTAAGTTCACCACTAGTAACAGATTGAACGTTATCTATGTGACTTCCAACACTTACTTTTCCTCAAGCCCTTACACACACTGCTTAGTATCCTTATGGATCAGCATACAGCAACTAAAAAGCACCCACCAGTACTTCTTAGGTTAAACAACCATTCCCAAAACCCAGTATTTTTAGAAAGAGGTAAGAAAAGCTGAACCTTTGGTTATTAGCAGATGGTCTCCACAGAATCATGATGACAAAAAGGATCATTGAAAATAATAAACGCCAGATGGCATCATCCACCCATAGCTCCTGCCAATCCTGTCAAGGAAAACATCAGCACAAAAATTTGTGAAGATGACGACTCCATGTCCTCAGCTCTTTCCAAGGGTGAAGAGGCTCATTTCCCACAACAGTAAGAATTTTAGCATGTGGTATATTACTTTAGACATAACCCACAGAAAACTCAGTTCCAGAATGCCCAATCTAACCTCTTATACTGCCAAATCTAAACTTATTGAGAGACAGCAATTGCAGAAAGCATTCAATATAAACTTACCGACTGACAGTCCACCAGCCTGAACTTCATGGTGGTCCAGATGATAAATACAATAGATGCTGCAAGATTAAAACAAACAAGCTGCTTATTACTACAAAATATGCAAATCCAAATACATTACTAACAGAACTGTGTTTCCCATACAAAGGTCAAAGACATAAGTTAGATTCCAAGAATTCACTATTTAGTAGTTTTGGAAAACAGGAAATAGATTTATTGCACTGACCTTGTATGGTAGTTTAGGCACAGAACAGTATATTTTGTTCTTGGTTCTTCAGAGACACAAGGCATAAATCAAGTATGAAGTATTTAGCCAAACTCCTCATCCCTATTCTTAGATCACTTCCATCTTGTCTCCAAACCACGGTTTCATTATCAGTTGACAAATCAAGCCTACCTTGAAGTAATCTTTAGTGATCAAATCAAGCCATATATGGAAATGGCAAGTGCTCTTGTTTAACGTAATTTTCTGCTTACCTGCTACTGCCAAGATGAGCGTGTTGGTGAAGTGCCGATACAAAGAAAGTTTCACAACATTCCTTCGAAGTTTCAGCAGTTTCATTGTTTGAGTTAAGCTGATGAATATGTATGAAAAGTCAAGGAAAGCCTCTGAACGGACAAGCTGGTCGCAGATCTTATGATCAACAGCTCTCCCACCCCCACACTTCGCCCTCTAAAAAGGTAGACCAGACTCAGTAGAAGAGAAGTTCATCCTATGGCAAAGGTGCCAAAGAGCAGGATCCATCCCCTTCATGTTTAGTCATCCAAACCTAAAACTCTTGTCACTGAAAGATGGTATCCCAGCATCTATTTTGGACTACTGCCCATTCCTCCAGAAAAGTGTCAAATATATTTCTGATAAATGGAAAATCAAGCCTGAACTAGAAGCGAGTTAAAATCCAATTAGACAGTACATACACCTGTCTTCACCCTTTTGCCTACAATTTTATTTCCATAGTGACAAAACAAAAGCTTAGGAGAGAATTGGGGTTGTCATGGTTAGACAGCAAGTAACTCACATTTTAAATAGAGTTTTGTTGTTGACTTTTGCTAAAAACAGTTTACATGGATTTTGCTATACATGTCTTTGAGTTCAGCATTTGACAGCAGTTGCTAAACTCACACAAGATTATGGTTGTTTGGATGCAACACGTTAAGACACCAAAAAGTTAACACTGCCCCATTTTGTCATCTAACTACTTCAAGATGAGTTCAAATTCTACAGAAAAAAAAATTAGGTTTGATGTTGCTAAAAAACCTTCTCCCCAAAACATTAGCTAATTCTGTTCCCCAAAGGCTACTACTATGTATTGTTATAGTGCTACACTAGAATAAATTAGTTTCATACTTCAGTCAGAGACTGGTAACAGCAGACTTAACTAGTCTACGTTCAGGAACTGCTCTGACACAGCTATCTACTGGTTACTTAGTTCTTCTTGCACTGGCAGTACCAGAAGCTTACCTGAACACTCAATTACAGAGGTTCTATTAACTTTACTGGAAGTAGAAAGAATACATACTTGAAGCTGATTTAAAAAAAAAAAAAAGTTCAGCCAAAAAGACTCCAACAAAAAACAAAAAAAAAAAAAAAAGAAAGAAAATACACCCCACCAAGTAAAATAGTGAAGGATATCCACCAGCACAGGGCAGTGTCTAGGAAAGCCAGGGGAATAAAAGCCAAGGAGGCAAGATCATTCTGGGCCTGGAGACAAAGAGAGAGCCAATAAGAACAAACTGAAAGGAAATAAGGTACAGAAGAAGAAGTAAGGAAGGTCAAGCTACTTTATGGGAAACCACAAATATTCTACCACAATGCTTCTGGGTTTTACTACTCAGAAGCAGAGGGTCTGAACCAAGAGTTCAGCCCAATGCACAGAGGGGAACTGACAATACCACATTGTCAGTTCTCAGTTCTCCACCAGCAAGTAGTTTTCCAGAATAAGTCAATCATGCACTGTTAAAAGAAGCCTCTGCTGAGGTGATTGCTGCGACGATGTGCTCTGGCCACTTCCATTACAGAAAACTAGCAATCAGATTGTTAGAAATGTAGTAATTAAATCTTTTACAGTATCCATGGAAGAACTGAATGCTCCACTGGCAACCATAAGTTTGACCAAAAGTGGCAAAAATTGCCTTTGTGTGTACATCAAAAACTACTGAAGTCCCAAGTGAAACAAGGCAATCACCTTTTATTCCTTTCAAGTAAAAGACACAAATAATAAGCTGTGAATAAGCTTGTAACACTCTGCAGTTTCTGAAAGGATATCCACAAAATAATACAGGCATCAATCATGGACAGGGCCAAGTTTGCTATCAGAGCCACAGTGTCATAGAAAAACTGAAAAAGTACCAAATATATGACAAGTTAAACACTTATATCCCAAAATACCAAAACCAGAACAACAGAAATCTACATCCTGAGATGCACTTAATGAAGCAAGCAGTACCGCTCACATGCACTTCCGCAGGTACAGCCTCCAAGACTGGAATAGTGGTTTATTTTTTTGGTTGGGTTTTTTGATTTGGGTTTTTTTTTTTTAGACTCATGGCCAGGTGACCTAAGTTGTACGTTTCTGTCTGCAACTAGCCCTACCTAATCTGACATATTAGACACAAGGGTTCAGGCACAATATAGTGTGTAAAACCTGACTATCAGAAAACTATTATAATTATTTCAAAATAGTCAGAATTACATCCTCATAGAGAAGACAAACTTAAAATAATTGTCAATAATACATATCCACAGTGTCAGAGTTTAACCATTTCGTTGTCTCTGTTCCCTTCTTTCAGCATAGCCCTGGGATTTTCCCTTAGCATAAGTAAAATAAAGCCAGTAGCATCTGTGGCATATGTGAAAATTCAAGCAGTTATTACTGACCCCTGTGACTCGGAGAACACCTTCCATGCCAGAAAATAATAGATAAAGGGCTCCAGCCATAACTACTTTGTGAAGGGTAACTCCAAGGCGAGGCCTGTAGGAAAACAAATTTAGATTAAGTGGGGGGGAGGGAAGTGAAGCCATGCCAACTTGAGTCTAACATAAGGCATGAAGCATGTGAATAAAAGGTCCTTGTGACAAGCTACTTCTAGATCTAGAAATAATTTTATTATAGTACTTGAAGCTTACTATTAATTTTGCCTTATGATATGATGTGACTAAGGAAGAGATTGGTAACGGTCCTATTTCCTAGTTAACCTGTTTAGCTTTTTACAAACATTTCAAGAAGTCTCAGCCCACCTCCTCTTCACCAGCTCCCCCCCAGCACATCCACACTTGTTAGAAGCTTCCGCTACCACACAGCATGCTGTTTTATCATTGGATACAGCTGGTGACAAGACAGATGATCACCATCTTGGCAGTAGAAGCCTCCTAAAGCAGATCCTCTCCCCTATCAGTGATTCTTGACCTCCCCCATTTCTAGAAGCAACTCCTTGCCCAGAAGGCAGGCATATAAAGCTCCCACTCCATTTAGCAGAGTATCTCAACAGTGGTACAGGGAAAGAAGTGAGAAGAAGAGTAATCACCGTACAAAATTGTATGTCTCTTGACTAGTGAAGAAGTCTAAACCTTTACAGCACTTTAACTAAAGCTCCTAGCTTTTAAGTAGAGAGTATAGGGAGATGAATACTGTCCTAAGTTATTAAAAACCAGCAGTGAAAAGCCTTTTAGCAGAACACAACAAACCTGTAACAGAATTACTCACTTGACTATCCCATATCCTAGGCTGACTATGATGACCAGAGTTCGAGCCAATGAACGCTTCACAGCAGAAAGCAGTTCTGCCAGTATTACTGCTCCTTGAACTACCAAAAGCAAAGAGGAGGAAGCTAGGTTATTAAAATGTAATTTCTGTTTTATTAGCTACTGCATGCAAATGTAGTATAAGAGCAGATAATTATTTTCAGAAAGTAGGCTATTAATGTGCATAGTATTATTATCATCTATATCTGGAGTAAGCTTTCAGAAAAGATAGATCACTTAGCATAAAAAAAGCTACTAAGAAATTTTACATCCTTAGAAAGTGGAGAGTAAATAATCGATCAAGTCTTTATCCATAAGATGAACCTGGATGATCTTCCAAACAAGTCAACCAACAAAACCTTCTGTACAATGCATGTGGTTAATTAACAAAGTCATAATGAAGTTTTACTTGCAGAGTTTCATTTGTATGCATCCATCCTCAAAGTTTTATGTGGAGAGAATCGCTTAAGATGGATTATCAGGCTATGGGCTGAATACCAAAGATCATATGCAATGGTGTCATGTTGAACAAGAAGTTTCAAAGTGTCTTTCCAAGGCCAATACCAATTGTCAGACATGAATTACAAGCTACGCTTAGGAAGTCCTATTTTAAACTTCATGCCAGAACTACAGTGAATACCCTCCAGAATCTAGCATTTTACACCCCTAAGACACTACACTCAATGGTCAGAGAAAGCAACAGCATTTTAACTTTAGAAAAGTACAGATCATCATATTTACAATATATTTAAAAAAAATGCAGAAACTCTGGTTGTTTTGAAACAATCCTCAAGTAATTAATATGCATCTGTCACCCCGATTTAGCATAAGCCATTAGTGCTATGCCCCATCAATTAAGCTGCAAGCTGCAGTTGCTACCTACCAGATTCCCCTGTGTAGCGGATATTCTGGAACTCTGCATAGAAAACTGCTTTCTCGAGCATTCCGAGGAAGATAACAGCACCAATCCAGAACTGGATCCTCAGGAGATCCCGCCAGTAACAGGCTGACCATGCAAGCCATAGAACCCCGAAGAACACGTACACAATACACATCACCATGAAAAACTATTACACAAAAAGAAGCAAGAAATAGGAACCTTAGACCCAGAAAAATAATTTCCCTGTTTCCATTCCACAGCTGTAAGACAGCTCTATATTCTCCTCAGAGTATAGCAACTTTTGAAGTTTTTATATACAAAAGTGACTAGAAACAAGCACTGCCTCATTTGTCTTCTCTGGATTCTTTTACAGTGACAGTCTAATTTGACTGCCAAGGAATCAGAGTAATTGAGCAATTTCTCTCTTGAAGAGCAGTCTGCCAATTTATTCACAGGCAATTTTTCTAAGGAAGATATCAAGTACTACTAGGTTTCAAAAACTCAGATAACAGCTGAGGCAAATCAGCAAGTACTAGAAACTCTGCCCCTTCTCACATATTCTATTATTAACTTCATCGCACATTTACAGGACTGCAAATAAGCTTACAAGTCACCTTTACACAACATTCCACAGAACAGAGAGAAGCAACTGATGGTTGTAATCCCTCTGTTCAAATGATTTGACAACTTCTCTCAAAAGTTAATTTCCAGCAAACTCAGTTTTTGACCAAGCTTTGGGTCAGCCAAAAATCCAGAATTGAAGTAGAAACCCAGATATTCATTTACGTATTAGCATTTTGCAATTTTAGTATTTTTTTTTCAGTCCAGTGTTACTTGCTTCAGAAGGACTTGCAGAGTACACATCTCCTACGGCAAACGATAAGCTTGACAACACTACTCGGTGCTGAGTTTTCTAAATGACAGCACCATACCAGAGCAAGTTAAGTTTTCAAAAAGGACAGTGAGATAAAGAAGAGGAATAAGGAGGAGAAAGACATTAAATGAATAGCAGGAAGTACTTAGCCAAAGTATAGGGCAGTAATAATCAAGCAGTCTTCTCTTGCAGGAGGTAGATTTTTTTTTTTTTAAACCAAGCAAGCATTGAAGTTAGCTGCACAATCCACTGAAGTGTTCACGAACTGAAAACACCTTCCTCAGGAGAACAGCTTACTGATCCTTACAGATTTTCACACCTAATCTATGCAGTTCAAATGGTAAGGACCTAGGTATGCTAGTTCACATTCAGATGCTCCATTACAGAAAGATTTAGACAGAGATCTTCTTCTAGACCAGCCACATGGGGATATTCACACTAGTGAATTACATGTCAACCAAACTGCTGGAGGCTTTTTACTTCTGTCAAGTTCTCCTATTTACAGGCCACTCCTGCCAATACAGTCAGGCTAGAGACCTTACTTGTTATTGATCCCCAGCTGAAGTCTGTCTACATTACATAAATATTTAAGTTCTTTTATTTTCTTAGCCTCCTGGACAAAGGCAACTAGCAACCAAGTCAACAACTCCTTTGAATAAGAAGAGGATTAGCTCTTTGTAGTTCAGTTATGCTTTCACTGTTAGGCAGTATTAAGGACTTCCTCATGGGGTGTAAGACAGCTGGTGGAGGAAGGAAGATTAAGCTGTAAAAGAACAAAGAAAGCAGTGACAAATGAAAGGGTAACTGTGAACAAAAGCATAGAACAGCAAATTTTCTAAAATATGAGCTAAGGAGAAAAACAGCATCAGTAAAACTGCTCAATTTAGAGCTAATGATACTGATAATTTGTGGAACTACAAATTGACAGGCATCAAGTCAAACAATCCAGAGAAGGACATCAGTGGCACATGCAAATGTCTGAAATCTGTGGGGTTTTCCCCTACCCTGTTTTTAGTACCAAAAAAACCCCACACAAAAAACCCCACATACCAAAACAAAAAATACCCTGCAGTAATTTTTTTTTCCTGAAACACTGGCTTTGTGTTTCCTAAAGTATGGAAGGAGAGTATTTAATTGAGATTCAAATCAACTGATAACTTCATAGGTCAAAGAAAAGCTTTTTTTACTCACAATCATCAGAGGATAGTCTGCAAGTGAGAGATACTCATATGGCCCCTTCAGTTCTACTGTCACTGTAAAAAGACAATCCAGTAATGAAATTGAGTAAGAACCAAAAGGAGGAAGCCAGGATAAAGTACTTAACTGATTTTTACTCAAGTGTAACGAAATTCCGAATCTTCACATAGCTTTTAAATCTAACTTGCACTTCAATCAAAGAAAGTTAAGACTCATAACACACTCAGCTAAAAGCATGCAATTAAAATTACACACTCCATTACCAAGTAACTCATGGCAGTACTTAAAGTAAAAGTAGTGTGTGCTGGAGATTCATGTGTAACAGGGAATTTCAGAAACACACAGAAGTTAACTTTTTAAGGGGATTTTCAAACTTCTCTAAAGTTCGGATACATTATCAATGCACTGTTAGATATACTATAATTTAATTTCAAGGTGACAGTTATGATCTTTGCATTCTACATGATTTGAGCTTATAATATAAATCACTGTGTTGGTCTGGATATTTTTGAAACACAACACCAAGCCTCAAAATTGAACTGCTTGGGATTCTTCCTTACTTCCATCATTAAATGGACAGATCAACAACCTTAGGATCTTCAAGACACTAACAATTACCTATTTTCTTATGATAAGAAAGAGTTGTAGTAGGCAATACTTACATCTATGTGAAGTGAAAGATAGTGTCTTATGAAAGTGAACCATACACCATATATTTAAAGTACCTTAGAATACACTTATACTGGTATAGATAAAAAAGGCCACTATATTTTTAGCTTACTGTATAAACAGTTATCTTACTTGTAAAGGGCTTATTTTGATACGAGGAAGGTGTTGTTTTCTCCATTCTTTTAACTTTGGTAGTAGAATCCTTCACAGTTGTAATTCCAATTTGCACAATAAATATATATGGCCCATCTCGCCAAGTTTTGATAACAGCATTCATTGCCTGAAAATAAAACGTCTACGTATAGACAGTGCATAGTCGAGATGACACTAAAAAGACAGAAGTAGACTCACCATACATGGGTGATGAGATCTTCCATGTAAAAATAAAATTCATCTCTTCCCAGGCCTAAAACTTGTTAATAAATATTTGATACATAAATTTTAAATCTACTTATTAGACATAATACTTAAAATTTAGTTGTTTGAATCCAGAAGAATCCTCAAAGACTTGGGAGGTGATCAGGGCTTATTTGCAAATTTAATACTGGCTTACTGCAAGAGTCATCTCAAAGGTACTTCAAAAGCTACAAAGAATTCAACAAAGCATCCTAATTCCTTGTTTTCAGTCTAGAAACATTAGAACTGTAACAGAGAGACTTCTTTCCTCCTGAAATCAATTGTATGTAGCTATGCTGTTGCCAAACAACTCAGCTCACCGGTGAAGGATGAATTTTACAGTGTAAGAAGACGTAGCTGAGAAGTAAAAATTTTCCATAGTAGTAATTTCCTGTGGAAACTACTACTGCCCCTGCAACAGCTTTCATACCTGTAAGACTCAAGCCTTGCCAATGAACTAACAGAGGAAGCTTGCCCAGATAAATATTTGCACCATAAAACAAATCAGAGATTTCTTTGAGTTCCAGCATATAAAACTGTTAATTCCACAACTGAAGACGTTCTACCCATCTCAGAAACTGCAATATTTACCAAGAGTTTTAAGGTTAAAATTAAGACTATCTACATGTATGGCACTCACATGACCACTGCACAACTACCACAAAGACTTTTTATAACAGCCTCTCCAAGAGAAATGCACTATTAAGAGTATGCATTTCTTTTAAGAAACCTCCTGACAAGGCCTGAAACCAACAGAACTTTATGTATCAGAAAAAGAGTTTATGCTGATATTGACTGAAGTTAAAAGACTTGGTTAAAAACACAGTAAACTTAAAAGAAAATGAATGCATTTTTAATACACCAATGTGGCCTTTAAAATATCTCCATCTCTTGCTGCATTGATTCCTCATTTCACAATTGCACACACAGCTATTTATATTTTAGCTTTAAGGTAAATGGCCGTGCAAGTACACAGGGAGTTAAATACATTTTCTTTGTTGGCATCCAGGACATTCAATTTGAAGTTATTCTGACAATTGTTCCTGGTTGAGGCTTGAACATAATACATGATAAAAATATTAACAGATTTGAAAATCAAAAGTAATCACTCAACTTGTTAGGTACAATGCTTTAAAAGACAGACTCGTTAAAGATGAAACCAAATGTAATCTAAGTATTAGTCACCATTTCAAAACAGATCACATCAATGATTGCTTTAAATTACTATGAAAAGAGAATTATTTTTTTTAATTTGTACCATCAGTTTGAATGGTATGAGTTCTATATTTCACATATAGAAGCAGTTACTCTGTTACTGTTTTCTGGTTTTCCACACAGTGCTACCTAGTTCCAAGCTAAAAAAAAAAAACAATCCAGGTGTCAAAAAACCCCAGAGAACTGCACCATTCCTGTAAATGCTACCAGTCCTTTCTTATAAAAAGAAATATAAAGAAATTAAGACTGCTGGATTTCAAGACATGTTTAAATTCAATATACATACAGTTTTATCTGCCACCATTGTGTGATTTCCTCCACTGTCCTTCTTATCTTTTAAGCCCTTAAAGACAAACAGAAAAATGGGTAAATCAGTATCCCAAAACTCTCTCTTCCATGCCTACACTTGCTCATTAGAAGGAGAAAAAAAATTACCTCTTGCTTCTCAGGCGAGAGAGGCTCTGGATGAACAAATTCTTTATAGAAAATCTGCAAGATATGAGAAAGGTACAGCTTTTATAAGCAGTTTATAGTAAAATGACATTACCTGAACAGCTGTCTTAAGTCTATGCAAAAAAGGTCCCTAGATGAGTGGGTGCCTATTAAAGATCAAGATTTTGCCAACTCTCCCGAACTATGGTGACTTGAAATCTAGCAAAACTGCTACACAAGAAAAAAGCTGAACAGCGAAAAAGGAGAAATTTCTGTGAAAGTTCAGAAACTAATATCTGAGAAGAATATCTTTTGTTAAAATTTCAGTAGACTTTTCAAAGGAATTGGAGGAAAAGTCACTTAAAGACTTGTAAAACCCCAGTTTCACCAACCTAAACATTCAGTTAAGATGCCCAAGTTTACCTTACACAGCTAAACCCACAAGATCTCTTCTATAAAACCAAGTAAAAGCAGAACTGACATTTCTCATTATTAAACATAAAAAGCAGGCAGCATACAGATTACTTTAAAAAACCTTTCAGGTCATCTTTGCATATCAAAGGAATTAGACATGCATACAGATTATTTAAAACCCTTTTCAAGTCACCTTTAGATGTGTCTTTTTTCGTAAAAAAATAAACAAAAAAACCACAACACCAAGTTCAATAGTAATGAGACATTTTCCAGTATTCTCTATCCACAATCCTTTGTCTAAATTGGAAATGGCTGAATACAGATACAACATTGCACAATTTGCCTTGAATTCTTAAGTACACTATTAAAGAAATACAGCATGTTACATTGGTATTGTCATTAGTATGATTGCACAGTTTTGCCTGGTGACATACAGCTGGTGCAGAGCCTAGGTTTGCACATTACTCCCCTATGCTGTTTTGCATTGTCTTCTCTCTTCCATTTGATTTGTTTCAAACACATTCTAGCACTACTTATTTTTCATTTTTAATCTGCTGTCAGTGCTTAAGTAACATTTCTCAACACATTCATTTCCCTTATAAATGAACATTATCTGCGCAAAAAATGACGGTCCTTTATTGACACAAATTTAGTGGGAGCTTCACTCTGCTGCCAGATTCACACTTCTACTCAACTAGCAGTAGCCTTCTGTAAGTGAAACAAGTTCCAAAGACAGAACCACAAATAAAAAGAAGCCCTGAACTTTGCAGTGGGTCCCCCCCATCCCATGGTGGGCCAGATGTTGAATAGCAAGCCAGAAGTAAAGCAAAATTAAGAAATCATCGTTGCAGTTTGGTTGTCACAAGCAGATAAAAACAAGTACCTCCCAACCTACGGTGATACTTAGGATGCTAACACATCTAACAGGAACTACCACCTTCTCTGTATATTGTATGAGAGAACAGAGCAAACTGTGAAGTTCCTACCCATACCTGAGGCCTGAAGAGCTCAGAGCAATTTGGAAAGAGAAGCGAAGCTGTGGCATAGTATCCTGACCAACCCGGATGCTCTTCAAACGTAGTCCCAAAGTAGTACTCTGCCTGTTCATCCTGCCAAACACAGAACAGAACTGAGGTTAGCATCCAATATATCAAATGGGTTATCTCAGCAGGTAGCTGCAAGACCTGGAGAGCACCATAACTTCCCTTTGCACACACTGTTGAACAGAATTTAATAGGATAAAGGCCATCAAGACCACACAAGACTATTCTTCCTCAAAAAAGCGCCACAAAAACACTCCTATACAGACTTGGAGTATGAATTAGTACCTAATTAAAAGCAAAACAAAAAAATGAAATCCCAGTGTTCCTACAATGGATGTACAGCAGTCAGCATAAACATCAGTCTACACAAACAAACTGTACATTATTAAAGATTGAAGACCTCAGTACTGTGTTAGGTTAGTAGTTACAACTGTCATAATTAATATTTTAAGTATATGTGAAAAAGGTGTTACACAGTATAAGCCACAATTGTGTTCTACCACATCTGATAAAAACACTATACATTTTGCATAAATCACTAGTACTTACAATGTGCATCCATAAAGAAAAGAATTTAGGCTAAACATGAAAATATTCTAATTTTTTCTGTGATTAAGCATTGTTGTAAATAACATTTTACTCTACCATAACTCACACAATTCAGTTTAGAGTTGATGCACTTATTTAAGCTTCTGGGTTTAGAAGAACTCTGACAAACACTTCTACCTTACCCAAAACCCATAAGAGTCAGTAATTCCAGCAAGCTACAGATCAGTTCCTTTCCACTCTGTTGCCAATGATCCAGAAATTTGTTAATCTTCCAATGAAGGAGTGTGTCTTTTAGGCCCAATAAGGATGCAAGTGAGACATTTCCAATCCCCTCACCCCCAGATCTGCTTACGCCTAAAAACCATAACCCATGTTTTTCTATACAATTCTTACCCCAAAGTTGAAGACTTCATTGTAGCAGTCAGAATATCTTAAGTACCAAGTAACATTGTAACTTTGGGAGGGATCACAAGATTTTTCATCTCCTTCAACTAAAAAAAAGATAAGAACATGTATAAGAGACCCTCTGCCCATCATCCTTTTCCTCCTATTCTGTGCGAAACTACCACAATTAAACACAAAACTGAAAGCAAAACAATAGAAAAAAATTTTCCTCAAGTAATCCATTACTGTTCAGTGAAAGAAAGAAGCATGTGGAAAACAGAATGCCATTACCATATTACATAATTCTATTAAAGAGCTGAAGATCATCTGGAAACTTTTTGTTCTCAAGACAATCATGGGTATTTCAGCAACTGCAAATACCAAACAAGAGAATAGCAGTGACTCCCAGTGATTACAATACACAAAAGGATTTCCATTTCAAAGATACATGGGACACATAGCAGGTAGAGAGAGCTAGGAACAAAAGGGCAATTTGCACAGATAATATAAATATAGCAATATCATAACCAAGAAAAGAAATAAAAAGGTAAGATTTTGCAAGTCAACAGCCACTCCCAAAAGACAAACAAGCCAACTACACATTAGCTCACGCTGTCAAAGCTGCAATGCCACCTAAAACAGCACTAAGACAACTTTCCACTTTGATTTATTAGAGAACAACATGCATGAAGACTGAAACACAAGACTCTCCCTCCCACTCGGAAAGATCATGTGCTTTTTGTGTTTCAAATCTCATTCTGAGACTAAGCCTGCTAAAGAGAATTTGACATTAGAGAAGGCACACTTCAGCCGTAAACAAAATGAGCAGTGATTTTCAGACTCCTGGAAGAGCCATTTTGATGATTATGTTTGGGTTTTGCCAGTCAACAGATGGCAAAACTTTAGAGTTGACAGCATGTTTCTAGTGGCTAAGAAATCCTTGCACCTTCACAGGCAACATTCATCTCAGACTAGACACCCACAAATTTGTTGCATGTACAGAGCTTTTAATAAATGTGTCCATATTGACTACGGCAGGTAAAAAATGCAATTAGAAAAAAGACCCTGCCATGGAGTCTTAACTGACTAATCCCACTTTAAACCACATGACTACTAAAGGAAGTATATGTAGAGCAAAAAACTCAACTGAGTCTCTAATAACATAAATTAAAAAAAAAAAGACTGGAATGCAATCACTGAAAAATGAGTTTCCTTATGACACCTTCTGGTAAGCATGAAAACAAGGCATCTATTCTCCACCTAGCCCTAGATGTTGCAGGGGGCACAACACACAGAGGCAACACAAGCACTGCAGTGACATGCGTAGATGGCAAATGCTTATAGGACAAAGGCTCTTCTGATAACAGGGATCAAATGAGGAACTTCTCAAAAAAGTGCTATCAAAAAATAGGAGGGATTCAAAAATATCTTTTAAATACCTTTTTATCTATTAAAAATAAGTAATTAAAGGTAAAACATACCATGACTAGAACAATCTGCCAATATCTGCAAACATCAAAATCATAGAAACCTTGAAAAGGAAGTACTTTAAAAGGCAGAAAAAAAGGCATCCATGGCATTTAGTGAATTCAGCAACATGGAAATCTAGCATGGAAACCCTAGCCGTCCAACAAAACTAGCAATATTCAATTCAATTGCAGTCTTTGTACTCATTTACAGAGAGCAGGATTTCTACCGTCATCCTAGAAAGGAAACCAGATGCTTTCTAGAATAGCACTTATGAAAAGTAGTAGATAAAAATAATTTCATTATTGACAATACTAAACACCAGTGGCAGTCTTCCCAGTCAGAAGCAGAAAGCATCAGACACCAATACACAAAAATAAATCAAAAATCAAGAAGGGGGAAAAAAGGAGAAGGAGATGCAGGTGCTCATCAAAAATGTGAACAACTCATGAGCAATCATGTTTGGCAAGGGTCATACTGTCCACACAAACACCAGAGAGCAGACGGAAGAAGCAACAGACAGAAAACAAATGAAGAGAGACCAATTTCCACACAGACACTGGCAGAAAGAAACAAAGTTGAAGCTTCCCAGTATTAGAAGCAGTTCGAGTTATCATCTAGGCTGAGAGACTGAAATTAAGTTCTTAGCCTTTGTTCCTTCCTCTTTCAGTGATTCATTACCTAAATCCATGTAAATTTTTTAATCACACTGGTATGTAAAACAGGTGTCTTCACTAAAGAATTTTAAGGCTTAATGGCTGTTCAAAGGCTGACAGCACAGTGTAGTTGAAATCCGCATCAGGAGCCAAGAGGCAGAATTCTTACTGCCAGATCTGGCACAAACCTGTCTTGTAACAAACAAATTTTACTTTCTCCGTGCCTTAGTTCCTCCTTGCTCTTGGTTATTTCAGCTGTACACCTCACGATTAGATTTACCACACACTGCACTGCAGGTACTCACAGCTTAGATGCCACTTTAGTACAAGTACTCTATTTCTATTAAACTTTAGGTAAGAAAGCCTAACACCTACCAAAGCTCCAAACTGCTGTTTCAAACCCCTCCTCCTTTTCCCCAGGCATCAGATTTCTATGTTTTGATCCTGCAGCTGCACACTTGGCAATTGTCTTGCTGCAAGCCATGAAACTCAGCATTTGAACTACATTTGACAAGTGGGAAAACCTTAACTCTAACACTGTGGACCTTCACTAATAACCACTTTAAAACTAGCCTCCTGTTTCAGATTCATGTGAGATTAATGGAGGCCCTTTAACTACCTTTGAAACACTGTCCCAAAAAGAATTAAACCTGAAAAAAAACAGTAAGTACTAAACATAATACAGTACAGCAACATGCAATTTCATTAAGAAGCATCAGCTAATCCTCATACTTTAATTTTCTCAGTTAAAAAAAAGCACAATCACTGCAGCAACTAAGTCTTGAAGTGACAAAGGCACAGATACCGTTGTCTCTAAAGTGACTTTTATTTCCTCGTTTGACACAACCTCAGAAAGGCATTCCCAGGCACTGTAACTGTATAACTACCCAATTAGCAGCTAGAGATCAAACAGCTATCCCACTCCCATGGTAAGGACTGGTGCAAACCATTCCTTAAAGTGCTTAAAAGTGCTCAGGAAGGATTTCAAGCCTTTCTAAATCAGCTAGCCACTTCCACAAGTCACCTACATCATCTAGTTCCCATCTGAATGCGGTCCTCACGTTCACAGATAAGAGGGTATTGGGCAATACCCTACATAACCCATAGCCCTGGCCAGATTAGCAAAGAGCAACAAACTGAAAGAACCAAAAGGAAGGCTGCAAACATGTTTGCTCTGTAGCACATTCATACACTGTGATTAGGAGAAAACAGCTCTCAAGAGAGCTCTGCCATAGTGCACAACAGCGTTCCCTTACCACTCCCAGAAGCACGCAGCTAAAAAGGAACAGGGCCTCAAGAAGCACTGCCTCCTGCACACTGGCATCAGTCCCCCCGCAATACAAATAGCTCCTGTTCCAGTTGCCACCAGATCACCTAGCTGAAGGAATTTAGCTTCGCAGTGTTTTGAGTCCCAAATGTTAAGAGTGGGTGGGGTGTCAAACAGCAGAGAAAGCCAATTAATGCCTTGTAACCACTTACATCTCAGGAAAATAGTGGTGTTGCTGAAGAGAATCTTCCCAAAATTAAACTTCTTCCCCTGCAAAGACACAAAAAAAGGAAAAGATATTAGTGGGCTTAATGTCACCAAGCTTAGGTAAACACCATCTTCTACTCAAGAGTTTAAGTCAATACAGCAATGAAAGTCAATGCCAAATCAGGAGCCAGCCTTACTGGATTTTCCAGTCATGCTTCACTACCTCTTCAACCTACTCTTAAAGATGGCTTGAGAGGCTTGAGGCTTTTTCTTCTGCAAAACTGAATCAATTTCATCACCATTTGTTGAAATGATTAGCATTTTCTTGCTGATGAGACAGTCTGGACTATCCAACAACAACAACAAAAAAATGTTCTAAGAATCAACAGGAGTACTCGCTCATGATCCTTTAATTTTGTTCCTGAAGCTGAAGAGCCTCACAGAAAACATACATCACTCTCTTCCACAGCCTGGTAAAGGCAGGTTTAACGTGAAGCAAAATAGCTTTTCTGCACAGAACTTCAAACACACACGGTACAAGAGAGCTGCTGGAAATCCCTTCACCTTCCCAGAGGCCCACATCACCGCCTCAGGGGCCCAGCTTTCCCGACGCCAGGCCACAGCACGGCCCCGCAGTGGGGGCCGCCAGCCCAGCA